TTTTTTTCTTTTCTTTTCTTTTTTTTTTCTTTTCTTTTTTTTGAAAACACTTGCTTTTTTTTAAACAAAACCGGGAAATAGTGCCTTTTCAGTTAAGCTATATATCGATATTCCGTTCTGTCATGACATTGCCGTCCGCGCGATTTCCAAAAATAACCCTGCGTCCTTCGGGACATCCGTTAAAATTGGAACGATGCAGAGAAGGGTAAATTAGCATGGCCCCTGCGCAAGTAAGGATGACACGCATAAATCGAGAAAAGGTCAAAAAAAAAAAAAAAGACAAACTGTTGCAACGACGAGAGGCTACCCACGTACGCAGTCCACCCGTTGGGGGAAGAACGATGGAGCCCGGGCAACGGGAAGGAAATGAAGACGATCGAGGCTCTCAGATCACGAGGGGAAGAGGATGAAAGACAAAACCGCCGTCACATCGAGAAAGTGCATTCGAAAGAGGGGCGGGAAAAAAAAACAAAATCATAAACGAAAAAAAAAAAGAAAAAAGACAGCTACTCGACCCACACAACCCGAAAGCAAAAATGGTCCGTTGGCAAGCGTCAACGGAAAAAGCAACAAAGCAAGAACCGCGAAGAAACAGGCGGAGACTCAAGGAAACCTACCATGGGCCTCGCTCCACCACTCACCTCATGCACGACCGACGAAAGATATGGAGGTGACACCGCGGGTCTGGTCCTCGGCCTGTACAACACCCTGGGCTTAAAAAAAAAAAAAAAAAAAAAAAAAGACTATCTACAATGACTGCTCATTTTGGACAAACAAAAAATAAATTTTTAAAAAAAGACGGTGTATCTTTACCATCTTCCCATCCTCTAGAGGGAAGACTCCTCATTTTGCACATTTTGGGTGACAAGTGGAGTGAGCCCCCATCATGTCAGCGTGGAGTTCGCGTTATCGGAACTCGGTGCTAGGACAACGATCTCCTCTCCCCTCTCCGAGCCGTGTTGTGTGCAAGCAAGAAAGAAAGACACTTCGACAGCGCAGGAAGAGAGAGAGAGAGAGAGAGAGAGAGAGAGAGAGAGAGAGAGAGAATCATGACCTCAGAGAGACGGGAAATCGTGCTGGGCTGCAGTCTATGACTTCTATAAGGTTCCCTACATATATGCGCCGTTCAAAAACGCTCAGGAAGAAAGAGAGAACCCGAGGCAAGGGGTTAAAATTCCCACGTCGTGCTCGGAGATGCTACGCCAAGCCGACTTTGCAGTCGCGTCCGCCGACCTTGCTTCCCCCCCGAGTCCCGATCCCTCTCCTCCATTCAACTACATCAGGGAAAAATAAAAAGAATAATGCTTCGGCGACTAGTACCGATCACTATTTCTCCCCACAGTTGACGGCCTTGGCAGCGCGGGGGGAGCGGGGGGGGCGGAGGGGAAGGGGGGGGAAGGGGTAGGGGGACGCTATGGGAGGAGGAAAAGCCCTAGGGATTGCGACACCTAGACCCCAATACTGTCCCACCTCTTTGGAGGGAGGGCAGGCTCATATGGGAAAAATAAATGACTGGCAGAACAACTGACTGAATACGTAACACTACCGAATAGAATTTTACACAGAAAATGGGTTGAAACCGTCCACATCCGCGTCGGCACTGATGTATAAACTTATATCCAAGCCCTACTCTCAGTTGAAGCGCCCGGCGCATGCTCTCTTCTCCTGGTAGCCTTCAGAAAAGGCCGTCATTTTGATTAGCCTACAAAGCCACAGTTCTTGGAAAACATGGGCTAGCTAATGGAACATTCATGTAGAAAAACAGAAAACAAATCTCTCTCTCTCTCTCTCCTGTCTCTTATACACATCTAGATGTGTATAAGAGACAGGCTATGTGTCTGCCCTAGATACTCGGGTGTAAAA